AAGGCAGTCGCTTAACCAACTGAGCCACCCAGACGCCCAAAACAAGCCTATTCTATAATCACGTCTGAACACAGAAAAAAACATGAACATTGTCCAAATCACAAAGTCCAAACAGCTCCCTATCCTGGCTACTATGAGTGACTGTTGCTTCTTCACCAATCCTAGGTTAGCCTCATCGACTATAGACTTCCCTCCTTCTAGGTAAGACTTATTAAGATACCCAATAATAAAACGATGCCACTTCCTGAAAACATCAAATCCAGAATAAAAAAGTAAAAAAGTAAAGTCTCACTTGTTTAAACCCTCCCCCAAATCACCTAACACAAGCCCAGATCCTACAATAAGTTCTTTCTAACACCCTCCTACTGAGACACCCTGCGGTTTCCCCTGGTGTGGGTTCTTCCTCACTGTAACAAGTAATAAACCCAAGTTGCTCCAATACAAATATGTTCCTGGCAGTCTTTGGCTGGAGAGCATTTACAGTGCATCAGCTCTGGAGATAATGATCACACTCTGGCTTAGACAATTGAGCAAGAGAGGGCACACTGGAGAAGGAACAGATTTGTAGGAAGAGACGACGAATTCAGTTTTGGACAAGTGGAGCTGTTTATGGGCAATCCCAATGAAGATGTCTGGCAGACCATTAGATACAAGGTGTGCAGTTCAGAAGATCGTGGGTTGAGATGATGTTGGGGACATGGCAGCATATATATGGTAAATGAGGCCAAGATGATGGGTAAGTTGGTCTAGGCAGAGCATAGTGAATGAGAAAACAAGTGGACCTGGGGCAGAGCCCTGAAGAATGTGTAGGGATAGATAGTGAAAATAGCCAAGAAGCAAGAGGAGACCCAGGAGAGGGCAGGGTCCCAGAAAGCAAGGGTTGAGAACACTTCAGGAAGAAGGGCAGGTCAACAGTGTCAAATGCTACTGAGAGGTCAAGAAAGATGGAAGTATTGGGGCACATGGCTGCTTCAGTGGTGGACTGTGCTACTCCTGATCTTGGGGTTGTGAGTTCCAGCCCCACGTTGGGTGTGGAGATTACTTTAAAAGGGGGGGGGGCTGTGCCCCTCCCCTCCGCTCATGCTCTGTCTCTCACTTTCTCTCTCTCTCAAATAAATGAATAAAATCTTATCTTTTTAAAAAGATTTTATTTATTTATTTGTCAGAGAGGAAGAGAGAGACAGAGAGAGAGAGAGCACAAGCAGGGGGAACAGCAGGCAGAGGGAGAAGCAGGCTTTCCGCTGAGCAGAGAGCCTGAGGCAGGGCTCAATCCCAGGACCCTGGGATCATGACGTGAGCGGAAGGCAGACGCTTCACGACTGAACCACCCAGGTGTCCCTCAAATAAATAAATAAAATCTTAAAAAAAGAGATGGAACTATCTTCTGGGATTAAGTGAATGAGGTCAGTAGTGGCCTCGTGGAGGGGAGGGTACAGGAGCTAGAGTGCAATGGGTTAAGGAGAGAATGGGAAGAAAGGACATCCCTGGAATGGGGACGGGTCAGTTTCAGAGACTTCTACTTTGTCTTTACCACTGTGATAGCTCTTTTTCCCAGGCCAAAGGCCTGATGTGGGATTACTCTAACTCCAAGTATATCAACCCCATTAAACACCCAGGGACCAGGGAAACGATGCATGGAGTACACAAAGCAAGCTCCTATTCCAGCTCCCACTCCAAAAATCAATGGAATACATTGTCCTGGGATAGAGGACGTATCAGATGTTAAACTGATAAGAACAGATACCACACTTGATCTTAGCCAAAAGGCCGAGAAGCGATACTACCTGTATCAACTCCCCATCGTGCCTTCTGTCCCAAACCTTCCTCCCTCTGGTCTACAAATAAAGCATGTGAGCCTGTCCTTATACTCTTCATCATCCTCGTCTCCCCTGAGACCAGGCTAATCCTTCCAATGTCACACTTTACCACAATCCAGATAATTCTGTTATCAAATTGGGATAACAAATTGGGATATCAAATTGGGTTTCTCCACCAAGGTTACTGGCAGGTCTCCCAATTCCTGGCAAAACAATGGTAATCTGCATATCCTCCTCCACCCTTAAGGGAGGCAGTGCCTCTTGCAGCCACGTGGGGGCAGGGTTGCTCCCTGAGGAAACTTGCCAGACCTCTAAGCAAGGCGCTCATACCATATGTAGGGCAATGAATTGAGGCTGGAAAAAGGTCATTCCAAATTTATGGAGATAAACTAATATATATTGAATCCTTCTTAGTGTCTTGCATTCTGCCAGGCAACAAGGATACAGTGATGATTTACACAGGCATGAACCTAAAAGAGTTAAAATGGGAGGCAGGGTAGATCAGGCTTGGGGAGGGAGAAGTGGTTAAAAAAAAAAAAATTGCCAAGGAAAGCAGGGGTTTTGATGGCTATATTGATGGTCTGGTCTTTAGCCTAAAGACTATGGAAGGGCACTGAAGGATTATGAGCTGAGAAGTGAGACTTTTTTTTTTTTTAACTTTTTTCTTTTTTTTTTAAGATTTTATTTATTTGACAGAGAGAGACACAGCCAGAGAGGGAACACAAGCAGGGGGAGAGGGAGACGCAGGCTTCCTGCCGAACAGGGAGCCCGATGCAGGGCTCGATCCCAGGACCCTGGGATCATGATCTGAGCTGAAGGCAGACGCCCAACGACTGAGCCACCCAGGTACCCCTGAGAAGTGAGACTTGACCACAAATGTTTTATTTAGAAAGATCTCTCTGCTACAAGGTAGAGAATGGATTGATTAAAAGGGAGGAAACCAGAGCCAGGGAGCCAGATTAAATTTGTTGTAAAAACCACAGGAAAGGAGTGCCTGGGTGGCTCAGTTGGTTAAGCATCTGCCTTCAGCTCAGGTCATAATCTCGGGGTCCTGGGATGGAGCCCTGGATCAGGCTCCCTGATCAGTGGAGAGCCTGCTTCTCCCTCTCTCTCTGCTGCTCCCCTGCGCGCGCAAGCTCTGTCTAATGAATAAATAAAACCTTTTTTAAAAAAGATTTTATGCAACATACTAATGAGAGAAAAAATAAGATTTAAGACTTGTTCAAAAGAAAATTCTAGGAAAGGAGTATTTTAGAGTCCATCCGTCAAGAATGCTGATATGAATTAATTTGTTCATAGGTAGATATAAAACTGGCTAATGTCACACAAGGATATCAAAGAATTATAAAATAACCAAATCAAGAGCAAATAGGAAGTCCAACAAAAGTGCACACTCCCTAGAAAATCAGATAACCCCCAGGGTGTGTTGGCCCAGTTTACAACATCAAAAGGACACCAAACAATAACTTGCCTCTTTCCAACTTTTGGAAACATCCATACACTTCCTTTCTGTTCCAGCTCCAAGCCTGTGCTCAATTTTTTTTTAAATATTTTATTTATTTATTTGACAGAGAGAGACACAGCTAGAGAGGGAACACAAGCAGGGGGAGTGGGAGAGGGAGAAGCAGGCTTCCTGCGGAGCAGGGAGCCCGATGTGGGGCTCAATCCCAGGACTCTGGGATCATGACCTGAGCCGAAGGCAGACACTTAACGACTGAGCCACCCAGGCGCCCCTTGTTACAACTTTTCAATCATGTATTTGAACAAGCAATTAATATTTGCTGAGTAAATAAATTTATTTGTCCCTAAATGTATTCAAACTGGAATTCTCTCGTTGTGAATACTTGTTATGTTACCCTGGGACACACACAGGGACAACATTGCCCCTGAAAGAGTGAGAATCGGTTTGGCAGGGGGAGGGGCAGAAAAATCTTAGATATTAAAGAGGTTTATGGCCCACCAAAGGGCCATCGTACATAAGCAGAGATGCAGTATATCAGTGGTATTAAAATTTCATGAGTGGGATTGGAGGGGGAAATGTCTTTTTAAGGCTCCTAGTGAGGAGGAGACGATAATGAAAAAAAGACTGAGAAACAGGACCCAGGGATCATTCCATTTGTTTCCTGTGCATTTGCCTGCTGCCTGACTACCTTGAGCAGGAACTGTGAGATGAGAGCAGTAAAGCATAGTGGTCAGAAGTGCGGGCATGGAATCTGACTGCCTGGATTTGCAGACTGCTTGCCTCTGATATCTCTTAAATGGATAATACCCAGCAAGTTACTTAACCTCCCTAGACCTCAGTCTCCTCATCTGTAACATTACCTTAATACCTTCCTCCCCGGGTTGCAGTATTAGGTGAGGTCATACAGCGGAGCCCATAGTCAGAGCTTAGGCAATGTTTCTAAAACCTGCAAGTACACTAGGTGCTTACCGCAAACTACTGATGAACCAAGCCAATTGGTCTTAACGGTTTAGAGGTGACTGGAACCACCTTGACGATCAGGTGGGAGATGCAGGCAGCTCTGTAGGAACTCTTTACACCTAGGGTCCCTTATCTATAAAATGGGCTATCTAGGGATTTGGGAGAACTAATCAATTCGTGTAGTGTGCTTAAAACAGTGCTTCCAATGATAGCGAATATTAGCCCAACTACAAGCCAAGCTCCTAGCGACAGCGGACTAGACAAGCAGGTCATAGGTGGCCGCTCAGGAAAAATCAGACCCTGTCAGAAGACTCAAGCAGAGCACTTACGGCCTGATTCACTTTCCCGAAATGGCTCCATGCAAAGGACCTCCCCCAAGCCGCCCGCTAAGCAGGGACCCTGCGCACCAGTCCTGGAATGCGCCTGGGCGGCAGGCGTGGGACCGAGATGACACGGGTCGAGGCTGCAGGAGGTCCGGGATCCGTGGAGGCGGAGCCTGCACACCGGTTTAGGGTGTGTATGTAAGTAAGGGCAGTGCTCAGGGAAGGGTGTGGGGCAGGCAGCGGTGACGGAGGCAGAGGGTCGCCCACCACCGGTGCGAAGCCAAGGCCTCCGCGCTCTCGCCCCAGAGAAAGCCTGGGGTACAGACCCCCCGCCGCCAGACAGGAGCGCCCGCGCGCTTCCCTAAAGCGCAGGCGCGTCTTTTTCGCGCCCCAGCTCCTGAAGGCGCCAACGGCACTCCCCCCTCCCCTGGAATTCTTTACCCACAACTCCCCGGGCTCGCGCGCCCTCTCCTTATGCGCCTGCGCCCGCCATAGTCCCACCCCCAAATCCCGTGGGCCTCTGCGAGGTGGTATTTAAGTATGTCGCTACAGGCCTTCGGTCTCATTTTTCCGCGGCGTTCGGTGAGTAGAACCTTCTTTGTTTAATTTTCTTAAACCAAGTGAGCGTAGCACGCCTGAGCATTTAGGTTGCACTTACTGGTTGGCGGGGGAGGGTAAGATCTCGGCCATAGCCTTGAATCCACGAAGCAGCAGCGCAGCTTTGTGAAGGACAAAATGGCGATGGCGGGCCGTAGCGGCGGCCCTCTCTGTGATGAGGACCTTTTCACAGACCTGTACTGAGTTCCGTGAGGATAAGACTCTCTGAGGAGACGGGCCTTGCATAGCCGAAGTCCAGCACAGTCGTAGCTCCGGAAACAGCGATTGTGAAATCACGAATGTTGATTTACTGTCCTCTCGTCTGCAGGGTTCGGGCGCACTTGGAACGCTGACGAATGGAGAGGAGCCGACTTGTTAGGGTGAGTGTTTACGGCCGTCCGTTACCACTGTTCCTCCGTTGCGGAGTTTACGCGCGTCCAGTGGGATGTGCTGCGGGGATGATACCTAAAATTGAACTCTCTCTTTCTGATGGATAGTGGAGAAAACATAAAGATTCTGAGTAGCACCATCCCGCAGCAAACGCTTGGGGTTTTAGCGCGGAGGTGTGAGGGCACAGACGTGAGACAGACTGCAAGGTGCGGAACTAAGTGAGGGGTGCGCCTCGTTTTTGTTTGTTTTTTTTTTCCAGATGTGGTTCAGCTCGAAAGACCTTACAGGCTGGAGGATGGGACAAGACCTGTCGTGCAGCCTAGGCATTACGGTAATGCTCCAGGTGGGTAGGCCGTGATTTCCGCAGGTGTGGGTGGGCACAGTGTCTAGGTGGGGTTCTTGTTCAAATTGTGCTGACCACTCCGTGATGAACATAAAAAAAGACAAGCATATGGCTGAACTTAAAGTGATGCCATCTTCCTACTGAGAAGTGGGCCAAGAGTACTCAAGGGTCTATGAGTGATGATTCTTAGGTACATACATAACGCCTTCCTTTTCTGTTTCAGCATCTCATCACTAGGCCTGAGGAATCCACCTGCCTCCCAGGGTGAATACAGGTAATGAATTGTTCAGATGGGGGATTGGAGTGTTGTCCGGTTTTGCCTACAACCAGGAGAGCAAATGGCCAGTGGAGCAGCATTGCCTTTTTGCTCCTTCCAGCTTGTTCTCTTGTAATGACTTTGCTGTGGAGGGAGAGAGCAGCCTAACAGTACAGTTCTTGCGAGGGTGTGCTCCCCCTCACCCATACGTCAACTGTCAGATGATTTGAATAGATATGCTGATCCTCTGTGAGGTGCGACAATTAATAGCATGTTAGAGTTCTGATGGCAGTTTCTGTTAATGAAGAAACTTTATTCCGTTTTATATTTTCAGATAACCATTTGTTCCCCTTTTGCAGGTTGTCCTGATGGTGACACATTCCTCTATCTTAAAGTAAGTAGCTTCTCCTAATACTGATTAGCATATGTGTGAATTTGTTATCCAAAGGATGATTTCATTGTGGGTGTTTTGTTGTGTCCAGACATTTCATTGACCCATATAGGTTTCTGGTTCTTGATCTGTTTCTTCTGAGCAGTTTTATTTTTTTTATTTTTATTTTACATAGGCTCCATGCCCAACGTGGGGCTCAAACTCATGACCTCGAGTCGAATGCTCCACCAACTGAGCCAGCCAGGCGTCTCTTGATCAATTTCTTGTAGATGTTCATTGATGATTCTGCCCAGGGTTGAGCTTTCGGAGAGCGTTAAGGATGGTGAGTACTTGTAACCTTAGTGGTTGTGGCTTGCCAGAGTCTGTGCCAGTGAGGAAAGCAAGCATCCTGTCTTACCCTGTTCCAGCCCCAGAGCCAGTAATGGTGAACCCACTGGGGCTAACTGGGAGAAAGGATGAGAATTTGTTCGTAAGGAACTGTCTGAGGTACAGTGTATGCCTGTCAGTAGCATCTGCTTGGCTTTTCTTAGTTTAAATCCATTAATCATAGTTGGAATGGATGTGGCTGTTTTAGATCCTTCACTTAATTATGTAATCTTCTCTTTCAGGAGCAGCTTGTTCTGTGTGCTGCCCAAAAGCCTCCAGAGTTAACAGGTTAGTGGATTAATGTCTGTGGCTCATGCCACCAAATAGGCAGTTTCCATGATGAATCAAACTAGCTCACTATGACCTACACAATGAAAATAAGTGAACACCTGAGAAACTGGAGAAGGCAGGAGTGGAGGGATGCTATGTAGAAGGGCTTTTTATCCACCTACGTTTTTCTTTTTCTCTAGGTGCTGTTAACCCATTAACCTGCTTGTTTGCGCAAAGGTGAGTTGTTTCCGTACGTGGTTCATGGAGCATATTGGGTAGAAAAAAATACCCTTTCGAGGGTATAAATGCATGATGACTTACATGGAATCTCGTTCGGCTGATAACTTGCTGTTGAGACTCGGAAATCTGATTTTTCTAGGAATGATAGTTTAAGCAAGAACAACTTTTATTGTTGGACGTAAGCATTACTGACTCTGTTCTTAATCGTTTCAGGTCCAGTGCCTTGTGTGGAGCCCAAGAATGATTTGAGGTAAAATGCCTTTGTAACATCACTTAGCTGCTATATAGAATTCTCCGGGTGTTTTTGGGGGGGGGGTGTTGGGTGGCACTTGTCTGGGTAGCTGTAAGAAGACCTTACTGGCTCACTCCAGAGTCTTGTCTGTGGCCATTCTGAACCACCTACAACAAGCTCCCCCTCACCAGTGATGAATTCAATACCGCCCCAGTCTGATCATTGTGACTGAAAGGTATTTTCTGAGCTGTGAGCTTGCCTTGGAACGAAGTGACAACAGTAGTTTATCAACTGGCTTCAAGCCAATAGGAAGTTCTGTGGACTACCTGGTGGTTACTGTAAAATAGGCATTCTGAAACCTACAAAGCCTTTACAGATGTGCCTTTGCTCTCAGCAATAGGGACCGGAGATGTTTGAGAGGCTTAGTTCTCAATCTTCTGCAGGAACCCTCAGCCGTTTTTCTGCTTAGCTCCAGTCTGAAGTCAGAGGTGAGTAAATCTAGGTGGTGCAGGGTAGCCCAAACTAGAACTCCCAGTGAAGAAACAGTCACATGTCTTACCTCCTGTCCTAGTTCCAGAGCCTGTAAAGGTGAACCCACTGGGGCTGGCTGGGGGAAAAGAGGAAGCTTGTTCCAGAAGGAACTGTCTGAGGGATCATAAGGGATTTCTAAATATGGGAAAGGGAATAAATCACTTGCTGAAGTCGATTGTATATTTGTGTTCCAGGTGTGAAAAAAGAACAAGGCCCATATCACAGGTATGCATCTGTTCAAATATTGGTGTTTAATATCTAATAGACTAAGATAAACAGAAAAGTATACCTGGAAACAAGCTTTTTAACGTGAACTAGTTTAAAGGATAGCCCCTTATAAACTCAACATAATACATTCTTACCTAATAAGGAGGCTCACTTTTTTTTCCTTTCTTTCCTGTACAGGAATCCACTTCAGGGATACCAAAAGGAAGTCTTCAGGTCATTTTTTGTACAACCTAGCTGTGGAAATTAGCATACAATTGTTTTAGCCTTTCTAAATAAAAGTTTAACCTTCATTGTTTATGTGTTTGAGTGTCTAGGTGGGCAGAAGGAAATAATCCTGGGGAATTTGCCCTTGTCAGCATTGTTCTATTTAGTGTGGCAGGTTGCCTACTGCTGTCCAGCTCGGGGAAGCAGTGTTCAAGGAGCCTCAGTAGATCTCCTAAGGTTCACCACCACCTGCCATGTGCCTCACTGTGTGAAATGTCTGCTGGGGTTTGGGTGATAACTTTAGCAGGCTTGGCTGAGGCACTAGGAGGCTGGAGTATGACCATCAAGGGTCCCTTAGACTCAAAAAAAGTGGCTGTCTGATTTTGGTGTTTCACTGCCCTTTTCTGCCCATGAAACTTCAACATGGTTTCTGTGGAGTCTGCTTTTTCTGTAGAATCAGGCCTACAGCCCTTGAGTTTCTGTTCCTATAGTGAACCTCTGGGTCTCTACATTCTTTTTCTGGAATGGTCTGCGCTTTCATGGAGGTGACTCATTCAGGAACTCTAAGCTCAAAAGTCACTGCTGGGGGCCCCTAGGTAGTTCAGTCAGGTAGGCATCCAACTTGATGTCTCAGGGTCATCAGTTCCAGCCCTGCATTGGGCTTCACACTGGGCATGGAGCCTACTTAGAAGTCAACTGCTAAAAGGCCTACCTTGGCTAATCATGGTCAGTTTATGCTGTTGGTGTAAATATACTTTGATTGGAATGACCCTGCTTGTGTTTGTCTGCCTTCCTTTTTTTTTTAAGATTTTATATGAGAGAGAAAGCACAGCCCAGGAGAGGGGCAGAGGGAGTGGGAGAAGCAGAATCCCTGCTGAGCAGGGAGCTAGATCCCAGAACCCTGGGATCATTACCTGAGTCTAAGGCAAGTGCTTAACTGAGCCATCCAGGCTTCCCTCCTTCCGTTCTCTCAGTGGGAAAGTAGAACTTACTCACTTAGGACATCAGTTAGGGGTGCTCTGTGAACACCTACATGAATGTGATTTGCAATGAATATCCATCTGTCTCCTTGTGCCATTGTATCTGGACATAAATTTAGGCAATGGAGTTAAGATCATTAAGATCTTACAAACTTAGGCGTCTGCGTGGCTCAGTCATTAAGCGTTTGCCTTCAGCTCAGGTCATGATCCCAGGGTCCTGGGATCGAGTCCCACATCGGGCTCCCTGCTCGGCAAGAAGCCTGCTTCTCCCTCTCCCATTCCCCCTGCTTGTGTTCCTGCTCTCGCTCGCTCTCTCTCTCTCAAATAAATAAATAAAATCTTTTAAAAAAAAAGATCTTACAAACCTGGTAATTTCAATGCTTTTTATTTTTTAGAGATACATTTTAAGTGTGCGGGGCAGGAGGGGGAGAGAATCCAAGCAGATTCCCCACTGGGCATAGAGCCCAACAGAAGCTGGATCCCAGGACCCCAAGACCTGACTGAGCCACCAGGTGCCCCCAAACCTTGCTTTTTAATTGTCCCTAGGCAAGCTGGCTTTGGGGATGAAGGACAGTAAAGGAAGTCAAAGTAGAAGCACTGTCTGGGGTGACCTTTGTGTGCATAGATCAATGCTTAATCTTTAGAGCAGTTAAACAGTTGCCTCACCTGGAGGCTCAAATCTTCACACTTAGTGAATAACTTATCCCCATCCCCATCCCACCAGGCAATTCTGGTTGACATAAGTAGGTTTGGTTTTTTTAAGATTTTATTTATTTGACACAGACACAACGCGAGAGGGAACACAAGCAAGGGGAGTGGGAGAGGGAGAAGCAGGCTTCCCGTGGAGCAGGGAGCCCAATAGAGGGCTCTATCCCAGGACCCTGGGATCATGAACTGAGCTGAAAGCAGATGCTTAACGACTGAGCCACCCAGGTGCCCTGACATAAGTAGTTTTTATAGTGAACATCCTTCTGTTGCTCAAAATGGGATTCCCATCCATATGTAAAATTTAAAGTATGCATATTATGTCAGAACTATAGGGTAACTTACGGGCTCCTGGGAGGCTCAGTCGGTTGAGTGTCCGGCTCTTGGTTTTGGCTTGGGTCCTGGTCTTGGGATCCTGGGATCTGCCCTGCTTGGGGCTCTGGGCTGTGCGCTCTGCATGGAGTCTGCTTGAGACTCTCCCTCACCCTCTACCTCCCCGCCTGCAGCCTCAAATAAAATCTTTTTTAAAAAATAAAATCATTTTAAAAAACTATAAGGCAACTTAAAGAACATGCTTTTGGGTGCTTGGGAGGCTCAGTTAAGCATCTGCCTTCAGCTCAGATCATGCTCCCAGAGTCCTGGAATTGAGCCCCAATTTGGCTCCCTGCTCAACGGGGAGCCTGCTTCTCCCTCTGCCCCTCCTCCTGCTTGTGCGAGCTCGCTCTCACACTTTCTCTCTCTCCCTCTCCCCCCCCACCTCAAAATCTTTTAAAAAATGGATTTTTTGCTCATTAAATGGTAACTATGCAGATCTGAGAGCTGTCAATAACGGTAATTCAGCTATGAAAATGGGTTGCATAAGAAAAAAACATGCAAGTACCCTGAAGGAGGACCAGTTTTAAAGCAGTGGGGGGGGGGGGGGGGAGAACGTGGGGAGGAGCACTAGAAACCCACAATGAGGTTCCGCAAGCAGTGGGACAATCGGCAGAGTGCTAATCTGGAAATACCAGATGAATTGTGTTAAAGCCACAAAGAGGTCAGGTGGAACTGAGACTGACAACTACAAGCAAGTGTGGGGCTTTTAGACCAACCCCTACGTGCAGGACCTCTCCCCCGACTAACCACGGGAGGTAGGTGCCACAAGTATCCTCGGCTGGAGGAGGGACCCCATAAGGAGACAAGGAACTTGCCTGCTATCACAGAGCTAGAAGAGCAGGGGAAGGGGGTGGTCAATAGTTAAATTTAGTCCTAGGTGCTTAACCATTAGGCCAGGCTGTTTTCTCTGGGAGTCTCCAGGACACTGCTGATCTAATCCAGCCTAGGGAAGTTTAGCAAGCAGGTGATGGAACCAAAGCTGGGTCTAAGCCGGCACAGGAGCCAGGCAATATTTAGCAGAAGAGTCTGGTTGACAATGAAACCTTCCAGGAGCACTATTTTCACCGTTGGGCAAATGAATTCAAATTCAGGTCCAAGTCGATGGCTACTTTGGCTAAAAGATGAAAGAAATAACAGACAACGTGGAGAAATGGAGAGTGCTGGAATGATTGAGGCCTGGCTCCCCCTGTTCCCAATGCCTCAGACCTCTCCCCTGAGCTTCAGGGGCATCTGCTCACCCCTTGACCTACTTACCTGAAACCCAACTGGACACTGAGACCTTTGATTCCCTGATCTGCTCAGGTCTGCTACACCCAATCCCCTATCTCCCCACCCACTGACAGGCTGCTCTGTCCCGAACCTCGCAGTGTACTCCTCAGAAGAGCCATGGCCTTGCTCTTGCCTTTGTTGACTGCTGTCTGGTTATTTTCTACAGGAAGAGGGAAAGGGAAAGTAAGACAGCCAATACATAAGATATTTGAAATTGCACTGTGGTTTTCAACCAGGGGTGATTTTGCCTCCCCTCCCCAGACCACACTTAGCAATCCCTGGAGACGTTTTTGATTGTCACAGCTTTGGGGGTGCTATACTACGGCATCCAGTGGGGAGACCCTACAATGCACAACTCCCTCTCTACCACTCCTCGGTGAATTATTCAGCCCAAAATGCCAGTAGTGCTAAATGCAGACACCCTGAGATTTATGAGAAATGGTGGCAGAGAACAAGACTCTGATTTGGTGAGAAGGTGGCCAGGGAAGGCATCTTAGAGGAGGCGACATTTGACCTAAGATGGGAAAGAGGAGGTGGCGAGATGTGGAGGCTGAGGAACAGCCCAGGGAAGGAAACGGAGTCATTCAGAATGTATTTTGGAGTAGAAGCAACAGGCCAAGCTGACGAATGTAGGAGTGAGATGAAGGGAGCATGAAGGATGTTTCAGTGGGGACACAACCATTTTGGATAGAGTGAGTCTGAAATGCCTCCCGGACATCCAGGGAGAGAGCCCAGCAAAGGTGGGAGGGCATAGACTTTAGGAATGGGGGTTCCAAGGCCAGGTGGTTGAGTTTGGCATCCCTGCCACTTACCAGCTGTGTGACTTTAAGAAAGTCACCTAACCTGCTGTGGTTCAGTTTCCCCACCTGTTAGAGAAGAAAGATGATAGTGACTACTTCTCTCTTAAGGTTGTTAAAACATATAAAGCACTTGGAATGGTGCCTGGCACCACTGACCGGTGAGGCTGGAGACAGGGAATCAGCTGCCACTGGGGCATAGAAAGCCCAGGCACCGGATGAGAGCCTTTCAGCGGAAAGTGTACATTCAAATTTCTAGAAAGCCAGGGGGCTGATACACATTAGCAGACAGGGTGAAACTGGTGGCCCAGAGGAGAGCTGGTGCTTCTTGCCCAGGAGCTGCCCAAATCCACCCCAGAGTCGCCACAGGAAAGTGGGCCAGGTGGAACCAGCCTTAAGTCAGGGGCAGTGCTCCCCCGGCCAACCCTGGCATGGGCCTGCACACAGGGCCTCCGGGACCCCCTCATGTGGGCCTCGCTTTTCCTGTCATCAAAGCCAGTGATTCTCTGTGAACTCCCCTACTTCCCTCCACCTCTGCCATAGAGCCACCCCTGCCCGGATCCCCACCAGCTCTTGCCTGGAGGACCCCAGGATTCTTCTCCCGGTTTTCCCCAGTAGACTATGAACGTCATGAAGGCAAGGGCCATGCCTGATTTTATCATTGTAGAGTGTGTGCTCAATAAGCATAAACAAATGGACAAATAGCCTCCCAGGAGCAAATGTAATTCTACGTTTTTGTTTTTTAAGATTTTATTTATTTATCTGACAAAGAGAGAGATTGCGCACAAGTAGGGGGAGGGAGAGGGAGAAGCAGGCTCCCCACTGAGCAGGGAGCCTGACAGGGAGCTTGATCCCACAACCCTGAGATCATGACCTGAGCCAAAGGCAGACGTTTAACCAACTGAGCCACCCAGGCGCCCCTAATTCTAAGTTTTTATGGCACCTGCACTATCAGTGTCCCGTACTTGGATAGGAAGAGGCAGGGATAACAGCAGACTGAGAGTGAAGGAGCCACTCCCCACTTGCTTTGGCTTCAGAGGAGGAACAGGGCTGCTGCAGCCCCACCTAGGGAACTACCCCCGGCCCCAAATCTGCAGTCTGGGCCCCTTGGCTGTAGCCTGGGCAGAAGGTGAAGGCTGCTCAGCTAGGGGGCTGTGGTCTGCCCAAGGTTGGGTCTTGCAGAATTTGGAGAAGGTTGAGATTGAAAGAAATGAAGGTTTGCTTTTGCCCCTGTATGTTTTTACTGCCGTTGTACCAAATTACCACAAACTCAGTGGCTTAAAACAAAACTTCTTATCTTGCAGTCTTGGAAGTCAGGTGTCCAAAACGGGTCTCACTGGGCTAAAATCAAGCTGTGTTGGCAGGGCTGCATTCGGTTCTGGAGGCTCTAAGGAAGAATCTGTTTCCTTGGGTGCCTGGGTGGCTCAGTTGGTTAAGCGACTGCCTTCGGCTCAGGTCATGATCCTAGAGTCCTAGGACAGTCCCGCATCAGACTCTCTGCTTGGCCAGGAGTCTGCTGCTCCCTCTGACCCTCCCCCCTCTCATGCTCTCTCTGTCTCATTCTTTCTCTCTCAAATAAATAAATAAAATCTTAAAAAAAAAAGTTTCCTTGCCTTTTCCAGCTTCTAGAAGGCCACCCACATCCATCTGATGACCCCCTTCCATCTTCAAAGCCAGCAATGGCTCATCCATCTTTTGCATGCCGCATCACTCTGACGCTGGTGGCTCCTGCGTCACTCTAGCCCTGATAAGGACCACCAGATAATCGAGGATAACCTCTCCTTCCCCAAACCCTAACTTAACCATATCTGCAAAGTACTTTTTGCCCTGCGAGGTAATACATTGCGAGGTTGTGAGAATTAGGACCTGGGCCTCTGGGTTGGGGGCACTGTTCTGCTGGCCGCGCCCTCTTAACTCAGCCCCTCCCTGGAGGCCCTGGGTTTACTTATGGAGACCTGTAGAAACTGCCCCTGTTTAGTAACATCGGGGACACACTGCTGAGAACCCTGTTCTCTAAAATCATCGATCCCAGACATTTTGCTAATTAAAAGCCTCTCAGTGAGAACGGAAGTTCCCACCCGGTCACTTTGACACAGACACTCGGCCTCTATTTCCAGCCCGGGTGTAGAGCTTGTTAAGGAGGTTTCGGACAGAACATTCCACATTTCCATTAATAGAGTTTCCAAGAAGACGGGACCCCAAGTTCCTTGTCAGCCCCGGCCTGATCTCAAACCCTTTCATACAGCTGTCTTTGCCCTGAGCCTACAAAGGAAGTGCTTCATTTCAGTTTTATCTATGCTGGTCGCACCCCCTCTCTCCCACCGGGGTTTAGGAATCGGGAACGTCCGCAAGGCCTTTCTCGGGGCCGCTTTTCTCCTCTGCGAAGGGCCCACGGTGGTCTAAGCAACGGGCCTCACGTCATCAAGTCACGGACTAGGGAGCAGGGATCCCAACCCGGTTCTTCAAAGCCTGTGCGTGGGAGCTGCAGCCTCACCAAATAAAGGCCCGGGAGACGGGCGCCGGCACCCGCCACACGGTCATTCACACACTAAAGGAGACGCCGCCCCACACCCCCGGGAAACCGCCTGAAAACCTTCCGGCTCGCAGACTGACGCGGTGGGGCGGGAAGGGAAGGGGGGAAGGCCACGCCCACATCGCAATCCGACTTGTATGTGGACCAATCCCAAGAAAGTAAAAACAGTTCAGGGGCGGGCTTATGTAAAGCACACCGAGGGTGAACAGGCAGGCAAAGAAGTAAAGAACAAAATTTAAGGCTATTTTTTAAAGTCTAGCTATTATTATGAAGTAAGAATAATGGGAAATTGAATTGTAGAGGACCTTCACATTGCAAAGTAATCTAATCATTAGGCCACCAAAATCACCACTACCGTAAAAGCTATCCCAAGGGTAAGGGCTGCCCGCAAGCCACAACTTCAGTATCGCTTCTCGGCCTTTTGGCTAAGATCAAGTGTAGTATCTGTTCTTATCAGTTTAATATCTGATACGTCCTCTATCCGAGGACAATATATTAAATGGATTTTTGGAGCTAGGAGATGGAATAGGAGCTTGCTCCGTCCACTCCACGCATCGACCTGGTATTGCAGTACTTCCAGGAACGGTGCACCACCCCTTCGGGGGAATAAATGGTTTTTCAAAATAAGAACTTGGTGTTGTTTAGACTTATATCTCTGATATTTGTACTTTGTGTGACGTTCAGATGCAAAGTTAATGACCTGTGTTTTTCATTTTTATTAATACAAAAGCACGGAAGTTTTTTCGCTTAGTGTATAAATATTTTCTTGGGTAAATTTTATGGAAGACTATTTATAGTACGAGCCCGCGAAAGCTTGATAGGGCTAAGAAATGTAAGAACAACACAGGTTGGTTGTAAGGTGAGTGTTACTCACGACTTCCCCACCCTTTTAAGTTGGTATTTTTTTGTTATATTTGATGCGTTGTCACGCGTTCTCGCCGAAGGACAGTTATTATGAAGGGGACCTTCTCAATCCGAAGTGGAAGAAGCCGCAGCTTTATATTCCTTTTTACGCACGGGCATTACTCTACGTTTAGAAAAAGTATAAGATTCATGAATTACCTGATGGCGTTTGGGGCGGGGGGCGGAGTACTTCATTTGCTTTTCCTTACGTCTTCGTTTTACCCCTGGAGACCACTGGGTCGCCTCGTCTAGCCTAAGCCCCAGGTGTGTCCCCGACCTGACAATGAGAGAAACCGTCCAACAGAGGATGTCTCACAAAATAAAGGATTTAAATGTAGGGTGTTAAAGGTAAGGGGGGATTTAGGTTTAATTTAACGTGATAGGCTCAATACAAAGTAGGGCTGCGGGGGCGGGGGGCGCAAAGAGGTGAGTATCTTTCACCTCTTGTGAAGTAGACCCAGGGCGCTTGTTTCCTTGGTAATACAACGTTAAGATAAATGTGGAATGTGATGCTCAGAACTCCCACCAGCAGCTCTGTACTGATACAATTTCAAACGGTTTCTGGTTCTCTAATTTCAGAGAACAAAAATCTCTGTGAGGAAACAGTCACTCAAAGAAGGGGCTGTTATAACATTGTAAAGAAGCAGTTTGTCCCTGGGAGAAAGTTTTAATTTTGCAGATTTCTACTCTCAGTTGGAGCTGAGTTTTACCATCACCAAACCTCAATGTGAGGAAAGAAAAACGACGCCCCTACCTCCACTTTGCAGATTTCTGTTTTAAGATTTCAATTTCCCCATCTTTCTTCCTTTTGTGTCTTTTATACATCGAGGTTGAAACCATGAGCCTCATTAGTGATTTGAATTGTTTCTGAAGTGCGCTCTTCTTTCTTGACTGGTACAGAAAACAAGATGTACATGATGCTTCGGAGCCGGGAGACGGACTAGGTCTGGCTTCAGGCGACGCGGTCCGGTTAGGATGCCTTCCACTCCAAGTGCAAAACTGTCAAGTTACTCTTCAGATCACAAGTTATCTCCAGATTTCGTCTTCGTAAAGCAAAACCAGCTGGCGAAGTTAGGGGATCTTTACTCTTCCAGCTTTTTGTTTGTTTTTGAGTGATCTCTACACCCAACCTGGGGGCTCAAACTCGAGACCCCGAGAGCAAAAGTCGCCAACTCTTCGCACGGAACCAGCCAGGTTCTTTCCTTCCGGCTCCTTAAACTCCAGGAGAGGGCGTTCCTCCCGATGGCGCTCGGCGCGCGCTGGTGACGCCAACACTGCGCCGGAAGTACGCGCCGTGGGCTGCGGCGCTCCGCTATGGCGGCTGCTGGGGCTCGCTGGAACCATGTGTGGGTGGGCACCGAGACCGGGATTCTGAAAGGTTGGTGGCTGGGCTCGGCGTCGGGAAGTGGGGGGGGGGGGGTATCCCCCGCTCGCGACTGCGGCGCGACTGACACCCGCCTCCCGCAGGGGTGAACCTTCAGCGCAAACAGGCGGCGAACTTCACGGCGGCAGGACAGCCGCGGCGCGAGGAGGCGGTGAGCGCCCTGTGCTGGGGCGCGGGCGGCGAGACTCAGGTGAGCGGCCGCTGTTCGGTCCCGAGCTGGGGGGCAAGGTGCGGCAGCCTCGCTTTGATCTCCATCCTGCTCTCCTTTGCCCGCAGATCCTGGTGGGTTGCGCCGACAGAACGGTGAGGTACTTCAGCACCGAGGAGGGCCGATTCCAGGGCCAGAAGCACTGCCCTGGCGGGGAGGGCACGTTCCGAGGTCTTGCCCAGGTCGACGGGTAAGACTGAGCACGTCGCTGAACGCTCAGGTCGCGGGGAGAGCGTGGAGGCTCCCTCAGGAAGGCCGAATAATGACGATCAACCCATAGTGACACGGGCCGGGGCTGCGTGACAGGGACCTGTGTCCTGCCTATAACAAGCATTTATTGAACACCTGCTGAGTAACAGGCATTGGGCGAAATGCAAAGGCTGCAGGTAAACCAGACACATGAAGTACCTACCTTCATGGAGTTTGCATCCGCAAGGGTTTTGCATCCTGGCTCCATAGCGTTTTGGATGACCCTGAGCAAGTCATTTAATAGTTTAGAGTGTGTTTGAAAACTGACCCTACAATCACCAGCAATATGGTGAAGTTCCCAAAGTAAAGGATAGGAAAGTGCTAGCGGTTTAGGTAACTGGCCTAGCTTTCCTTCAAAGATAGAGAAGGCTGTGACTAGGCTGTGTAGGTTTGGTGGTGTTCCGACAAGTGAGATCTAGAAGTGTCTGTGGGTGAGACATTTGTACTGGGCCATGCAGGATGGGCAGAATTTTGACAGGAGGAGAAAGGGGTAAGTGCATTCTAGAAAGAGGCTACTGCCTGGGCAGAGGCCAAGGATTGGTGTCAGGCTACACCATATTTTGGGAAAGATAAACAGCATTTAGGGGTTGAAGCCAAGGATGCATTTTAATACACGATGGACAAGATAGGTAGGGATTATATGTAAAGGGCTTTCAGAGCCAGGCTGAGAGATTTGTACTTGTGATTGGCAGGTGGTGGGGGATATTGGGTTTTGAGCAAGGAGGGGTGTGGAGAATGGATTGGAAAGAGCAGTTGGGAGGCTGTCGCCACAGCCCACGCAAACAACACAGCCTGAACCGAGGTGGAGAAGGTGGGCAGATGTGAGAAAGAACATAGGCTCGGGCTCTACACATCCTGGGAGAGACTTGCTTGGCCTTCATGGGAGGGGTGTGTACTCTGAGGGACGGATCGACATTTAGTGTCTGGAACCCTGAACTGGGAACTGGAGAGAAGAAGCTGGTGTTTGACCTTGGCCAGACCCTAAATTTAGACCAGTCCCACTTCAGTCCTTTCATAGCTACTGATCCTGACTCCTGGTGATCCGCTCAAGATTGAGAAAGACCAGCGGGGCCAGGTGCCCCCAGCTGTGGAATAGCAAAGGTACTCTGCTTTGGAGTATCACAGACTTGATTTCCAGCTCTGGTTCTGACGTTTAGTTGTGTGGGCAAATCTTGTCATTTCTCAGAGCTTCAATCTCCTCACTTCCAAAACTGGTAACCCCTCCCCCCCCATCGAGGATATTAAATAACAGACCTGAAAGGAGAAAGTCTCGTTAATGTGAATCTGGGGGTGGGTCGACTGGGGCCTGGAGAAGACTTTTACACTTTTTTTTTTTTTTTTTAAACCTAACTGTCCTCCCTCTGCCTGCAGCACCCTTATCACATGTGTGGAATCTGGGATTATCCAAGTCTGGCACAACAATGACAAGGAGGCATCCTTTGACCCAGTAAGGCTCCCCTGCCTTGCTGGTGATGGTTGGGGAAGATGGGGGCCAGGGTAGGAACCAAGTGAGGGATTTGGGGGAAGAGATTTAAAGACTCTGGAACTGCTTCTCGTCTCCCCTCTCATCTCCTGTTCTTTTCAGCTCCTGGAACTGAGTGTGGGTCCTGGGGTGTGTAGGATGCGCCAAGACCCGGCACACCCCCACATGGTTGCCACGGGTGGGAAAGAGAATGCTTTGAAGGTGTGGGACCTACAGGGGTCTGAGGAGCCTGTGTTCAGGGCCAAGAATGTAAGTGACACGGGTGGGAGGGGCTGGGGCTGAGGTCCAGGGAGGCTGAGGCCACTGACTGAGTCAGAGGCCAGATGGGCTTTAGGGGATGTTGCTGACGGGCTGAAGGAAAAGCCTATGAGCCTCCCACCACCTGTCCCCCATCTATCCACCCCCCACCAGGTACGGAATGACTGGCTTGACCTGCGGGTTCCCATCTGGGATCAGGACATACAGTTCCTCCCTGGGTCTCAGAAGCTTGTCACCTGCACAGGGTACCACCAGGTGAGGCACCATCTCACCCCTCCTGGGCTGCAGCAGCCTCCTGGAGAAACAGCCTCCCTGCACAGGCTCAGGCCTCATTGGTTGGCACAGCTGCCCTTCTCACCAGGCCCTGTCCCTGAGCTAGAGGACGCGTTTCCTCCATCCGTCCCAGTCCTGTGGCTGAGCCAGTGACCTTTTAGTGCATCCTTGGATGAGTGTTTTGGACTGTGAGCCTTCCTTTGCTTCTCACCTGGAAGGGAGGAGAGAATAGAGGGCCCCTTTCACAGTAGGAGCACAGCGTGCAGGTGGGATGAGAGGACACTGGGTGTCAAGAGAACTGGGTTCTGGTCTTGGTGCAGCCTCTGATTTGCTTTGGGACCCAGGCCTGACCCTTTCCTCTCCAGCCTTAGCTCCTCAGCTATTTTATAGGAGGGAGGAAGGGAGCAAGGGTCCAGCTGGGGATCTTTACAGCTGGCCTCACTTGAAGTCCTAAGACCCAGGCAGGATTGGGTCACTATATTTGCCCCATTTCCTTTACTCCTGCATAATGACATCTGATCTTGCTGATATGCCTCTATTCAAAACACACCCTGAGGGCTTCCTCTCTCCTCTGTTGTTCAGGCTAAATTTCTCTGAAATGCAGTACTCTCTGACAGTTGGACTGGCTTGCTTTTTCATCCCAAGGTGGGAGTCTGGAGGGATGGAATGCTCACACATGTGGACCATTCATGCTCCTAAGCAGATCTCCTCTACCCGCTCCTCCCTAACACTCAGAAAAGAGGGGGTACATTTCAGATGAGAAAGTTTCTCTAAGAGTCGGTCATAAACAAGAAAGCGGTGTGTGAAGGAGGGGGTAAAGATGTGGAGAAGCCGGGGGGGTGGGCTGCCCTTGTGATGCCTTGGTGTTTTCCAGGTCCGTGTCTATGATCCAGCCTCCCCCCAGCGCCGGCCAGTCCTGGAGGCCACCTATGGAGAGTACCCACTTACAGCCATGACCCTCACTCCTGGGGCCAAGTAAGTGTTGCGAGGACAAGGGGGGGGGCGGCTCAGAGAGGACTCCAGGAGGCCCCTGCTGACCGCACCCGCCTCTGGCCCCCTCCGTAGTTCAGTGATCGTGGGGAACACTCATGGGCAGCTGGCAGAGATTGACCTTCGGCAAGGTGAGTGGGCCAGGGAGCCTTGCAGGAGGGCAGGGCATGGGAGGAAAGGCAGGATGCCATCCGACGGGGTGCAGGGGAGTGGTTGAGCCCTCATTCAGGTGCCTGTTGCCTGGGTTCAAATCCTGGTTTCACCAGAAGCTATGGGATCTTGGACAAGTTACTTCAGCTCCTTGTGACTTCTAGCTCCTTACCATGTAAAATGGAGATACCAATGATAACTCCTGTCCCGGTGTTACGTTGAAGAATAAATATTGAAACATAAAGTGATTGAGATAGTAAACAATTGGGGCGCCTGGGTGCCTCATTTGGTTAAGCGTCCAACTCTTGATTTCGGCTCAGGTCATTATCTCAGGGTTGTGAGATCAAGCCCCAGAATGGGCTCCACACTGGACATGGAGCCTGTCTAAGATTCTCTCTCTCTCTCTCCACCCCTCCTGTACACAAGCACGCACTCTCTCTCTCTCTTTCTCTCTGTAAAAAAAAAAAAAAAAAAAGAAACATTTAATGGTTGCTGGCTGGCCAGCTCGTGCTGATGCCCCCCCCCGCCCCCCTTCTCCAGGGCGCCTCCTGGGCTGTCTGAAGGGGCTGGCAGGCAGTGTCCGAGGATTACAGTGCCACCCTTCAAAGCCCCTACTAGCCTCCTGTGGCTTGGACAGAGTCTTGAGGGTACACAGGATCCGGAATCCACGGGGCCTAGAGCATAAGGTGAGAGCTGGCTGCCTCATGTCTCCCCATCCGTGTTTCTGTTTCAGTGTGCTTGGCTCCTTAAGGCCCTGATCTTTTGCAGGTTTATCTCAAGTCTCAACTGAACTGCCTTCTCTTGTCAGGCAGGGATAACTGGGAGGTAAGCAGCTGGGTCTGGGAATGGTGGGAGCAAGGGCACAGATGTGAGCATTTCCCTGGGGAGAGAAAAAAGCAGCGGCTGGAACACAGACCTGGAACTCTCTGTCAAGTTACTAAACTTCTCCGAGGGGTGTTAATAGTTGTAATCCTGGGGCGCCTGGGTAGCTCAGTCGGTTAAGCGTCTGCCTTCAGCTCGGGTCATGATCCCAGGCTGCTGGGATCGAGCCCCACATCAGGCTCTCTGCTCAGCGGGGAGCCTGCTTCTCCCTCTCCCTCTGCCTGCTGCACCCCTACTTATGTGCGCTCTCTCTCTCTCACTGTCAAATAAATAAATAAAATCTTAAACAAACAAACAAACAATAGTTATAATCCTGACAGGGTTACTGCCAAGAGTTGATATAGGAGCATGGATGGGAATAGTGTCCGGGAGCAGGAAATAAAAGCGATTATTTCCCAGCCAGATCCTCCTTCCCTCTGCATCTGTTACTGTGCCCCTGATTCCCCCAAGTTTTCTTCCACTCACCAGGATGAGCCCCAAGAGCCCCAAGAGGCCAAAAAGGCGCTCCCAGAAGACACAGAGACAGATGAACTTTGGGCCTCCTTGGAGGCAGCTGCCAAGCGGAAGCTCCCTGATTTGGAGCCGACCCAAGGGGCTCTCCAAACCAGACGGAGAAAAAAGAAGCGGCCTGGGTCCACCAGCCCCTGAAGAGCCTGTGCTCACTTGGTAAATAAACATCTCAGCACCCACCATGACCCAGAGCCTTTTGTGATGGGAGAAAGGAAAAAGGGGTGGCTGCTCCCAGCGCTGGTGCAGTGGGATATCTGACGTCACAAAAGCCAGGCCGGGCGCCTGGCGGGCTGGCGAGGGTGGCACGGAGTTCGGGGCTGCTCGGGGCCATGGGCTGCTGCCAAGACAAGAACTTTCAGACCTCCGATGAGCCGGCCAAGGACGCCGAGTCAGAGGAAGGCGAAGGTGGGACGGCGAAGGTGGGACCCAAGACACACCGACGGGGCTCGGGGAGCGGGAGAAGGGGCTGCCCGGACCGGGACCGCAGGAGGTTGGACCGGGGAGGGTAAAGCAGAGCTCAGTGGCCTCGTCATCCCCGCAGGCTTCGATGAGGACCCGCAGGACGGCCGGAATCGCAGATCGAATGAGAGCCTTTTGATCACCGTGCTGTGGCGGCGGCTATCCCTGTTCAGCCGTCGGGGGTCAAACAAGAGGCAATCAGCCCAGAATCAAAAGCAGGGGTTACAGGAGAGCAACCGGGAGGGGATCCTGGAGGAGCCGGAGAAGGGGTGACCTTCAGGTGCCCTGCTCTCAGTCTGTCCCAGCCTCCAGAGAATAAAGTTTCTAACGTGTACCTGCCCGAGTGCAAGCGCCTCCGCTGCCGGTTCTGGGCACACCGACGCGGACACCGCGGAGGTGCGGGCTCTTTAAGGCTCCTCCCCTGGGGCTGACCCAGCCCCCTGGGCCCCGGCTCTAGCTCCTCGGGGGCGGGGTTACGGGCGGCCGAGCCAATGGGAGGACGGAGTCGCTCTGGCGTTTAGGTGGGAGGGCGTGTCTCTCGGGCCGCTGTGCTCCAAAAGGCGTGGCACCGCCCTCTCGTCACCCGGGGGTGGGGTTATTTGGGGGTGACGTGGCGGCTTCTACTTTGGTCGGATTTCGGCGGCTACAGCGCTTGGGGAGGAGGCGGTGACCATCCGGGAGACTGTGGCAGTGGTGGCGGCGGCAGGCGGCAGAGAGGAGGTAGGACTCGCTCTAGGAGGGGTCTGGCCGCCGTGTCCGCTCCGGGCAGCAGCGTTCCGGGGGCGGCGACGGGGGGGGAAGGGAACCTGGGGCGAGCGGGCAAGTCCTGCCGGCCCGGCTCGGGTGAGGGAATACTTCGCCGTCCAATCAGGAAAGCCCCTGTTGAGAAAGACGTCGGCATTAGCTAGTCAGTGATTCCAGTCCTCCAGAAGGCGGTACTTGGGCGGGGGTGGGACTTCCTGTTTCAAATAAACACCCAGAGATTTTTTTCCCCCCCCTCCGCCCACCGAAGTGTGTACCCCTCAGGGGGTCCGTCACCGTTTCTCCCTTAGGAGTCGAAGGGATCCGCGGATACGAGAGGGCCTGGTTAAGGCCTGGGGCAGTTGCACAGGCCGGGCTGGGGCCTCGGGGCCACGGGACCTGCCTCTGGCCCTGCCCCCGCTTCACGGCCCCCGGCCCGCGCTCTGGCCGCCGGAGCCAAGTTGGTAGAGTCTGAGGAGCGGGACGGATCGGGCGGGAGAGCGGAGCCCTGCCCGCCGTGAGCCGGCCCCAGGATCTGCGGGTGGCTTTGGGCGCGAAAGCCCGTGCCAAGTGCAGAAGGGGCCCGAGAATTTACCGGGGGGGGGGGGGGATTTGCGGGGAAGGAGGCTGCCTGGGGAATGACACTCTCCCCTCCACAACAGTCCGAGGTTATGCGTCTCAATGATCCCGCGGAAACGCTACGGGTCTAAGAACACGGATCAGGGTGTCTACCTGGGTCTCTCAAAGACACAGGTCCTGTCCCCTGCAACTGCTGGCAGTAGCAGCAGCGACATCGCCCCTCTGCCCCCCCCAGTGACCCTGGTCCCTCCCCCTCCCAACACCATGTCCTGCCGGGATCGGACCCAGGAGTTCCTGTCTGCCTGCAAGTCCCTGCAGAGCCGTCAGGTAAGGACCAGGAGTGGGAAAGGCAGGAGTGAGCCTTACTGAAATCTGGGAGAGGCTGTGCTCCAGCACCGTTAATTGACATAATTTGGGGGGTGACCTGATGGAGAACTGATGCAGCTTGGAGGGGGCTGTAGGATCTACTGAGCAACAGGAAAGGAGTGGGTCAGTTATCTAGAGGCAAGGACCTAGACTGTTTTTTGAGAAATTCCACCAGAGGGTAGGGTTGCTACTCTTTGAAGGAATATCTCAGGATGAGAGGTGGCTGCAGTATATTTGGTTTGAATAAGGAACAGGTTCTAGAAAGAGCCTTTAGCTCAGAGACAGGCACTTTGAATTCTAGTTCCGGAATAGTCCTACCATAAGTTTGCTCTGTGGCCACAGGAAAGTTAGTCTAGTTGGGCCTCGGGTTTTTTGGGAGGTGTAGGGGTTTTTTGTTTTAAAGTAGGCTTCATGTCCAGGGTGGAGCCCAGTGCAGGGCTTGAACTCATGACCCTGAGATCAAGACCTGAACTGCGATCAAGAGTCAGAGGCTTAACCAACTGAGCCACCTAGGTGCCCCTGGGCCTCAGTTTTTACATCTATAAAATGAAAGCAGTTTTTTTGATAAGTAGTTTTTTTCAAAATTACTTTGGAGTGCTTTTTTACAAATTAGATTCCCTTGTTTTAATCCAGACATCCTGAATAGAAGTGGGACCTGAGTGACTGTAATTTTAAATATTTTTACTGCTCAGCTCTTAACAAGTGCTTTTCTGTATGATCTCCAAGAGCTTTCCGGTTATCCTCTTTGATTTCCTGATTGGAGAAATAGAATGGTAATAGTGCCTATCATTTATTTAGTGCTTACAATGTAGGAGGTATCTAACTAGAATACTTTATAGCCCTTGTGTTGTTTAATTTTGGCAACAACTATAGGAGGTGTGTAGATTGTCTCCATTTTATGCAAGAGGAAACAGATGCAGGATGGTTTAAGTCACTTGCCCCAAACCTCCCAGCTAATAAGTGGTGGAGTCAAGATTTAAACCTGGGTCTACCCGTGTTCAAATGTGAGCTCTAAGTGACTACTACTGATAAAAAAAGATCGTCTGGTGGAAGTACTAGGGAGAATTTAGTGGACACCCGAGGAACAGTGAAAGCTGGAAATGGGGAGGGGGACTAAAGTGTCACCTCTTGATGTTGCATTTCAGAATGGAATCCAGACAAACAAGCCGGCTCTGCGTGCTGTCCGGCAGCGTAGTGAATTTACCCTTATGGCCAAGTAAGTTGAGAGAAGTTACGTGGTGGGGTGCTGCAGTGTCTGGGGATCAGTAGGCTTGCCTTGGGTGGCCTTGGCTGTGAGGGAGGGCCGCGTCGGTTTTGCTGGAGCTAATGTGGGAATAGGCCCTGTCCTGCCCTTTCCCGTGGTGCTCTCACTAATGCTCGTTTCCAGGCGCATTGGGAAAGACCTCAGCAACACATTTGCCAAGCTGGAGAAGCTGACAATCTGTGAGTGTTCTTGGGGTCTTTCAGAGATGGGGCAGTGAACCAGAGAGGGCTGAGGAACCGTACTCCCTGAGCCTTGTCTTTGACCTCCCCCATCGTGGCCTCATTTGTCTCTGCAGTGGCAAAGCGCAAGTCCCTCTTCGATGATAAAGCAGTGGAAATCGAAGAGCTAACTTACATCATCAAACAGGTGAGCTGCTAGCTATCAGGAACTAGCATTCTAGTCAGATCACTTTGATGAGTTCCCGTTATCTTGGGGCCCAGAGTAAGTTTCTAGAGCCAGCCCCAGACATCTGCTCATCCATTGAGTCAGTGGACACTGATTGGTTATCAACTGTGTACAGAGCACTGCTGGGCACTTGCCTCGCAAACTTGAGGCAAGATTTCCGCCTTTGGGGCTTATTGTCTACAGGAGGTGTCCAGTCCCACAAACTCATACTTACGGTTAGGAGAAGGCAAGTGGTCTAGACCTTACGAAAAGATGAATGAGACAGTTTGGGGACACTGATTTTATAGATTTTATAGAGGGAGTGAAATCTGAACTGGTTTCAAGGCTTGCAGAGAGGCAGTGGAAGAACATTCCAGACAGAGGAAACAGTGTGCACAGTGGCCCGGCTTTTAAAAGAGAAAGTTGAAGTCTGTTCAGATGTTATTTGCTCAGGGAGGCCTGTCCTGAGCATGCTGTTTAGTACTTCAGTGCTCAGACCTGTGATCTTCCTTCCTTGCTCTATTTTCTTGTTACAGCACTTGATACTTTCTAACATTCTCTGTCATTGACTTACTTACATTTATTGGTTTTGTTTCCTCCCCTCTACCTCATCCCCCAAACCCCCAAGCAAAGAAAAAAAAGTGTAAGTGCTGTAAGAGCAGAGATTATTTTTTTTTCTTTCTGCTTGTTCCCTGATGTATCCCCAATGTCTGTAATAGTGTCTGGTATAGAGGAGGTGCTCGCTGTTTGTTGATCGGATGACTGGTCGGCAGGAGATGAGGCTGGGGGGCGCCTGGGGGGCTCAGTGGTTAAGTGTCTGCCTTCGGCTCGGGTTGTGGTCCTGGGATCGAGCCCCGCATCGGGCTCCCTGCTAAGTGGGAAGACTGCTTCTCCCTTTCCCACTCCCCCTGCTTGTGTTCCCTCTCTCGCTGTGCCTCTCTCTGTCAAATAAATAAATAAACTCTTTAAAAAAAAAAAAAAAAGAGATGAGGCTGGGAAGGTAGGTTGGTGCTGGTTGTCAAGATCATTGTGGGCCTGGGTAAGGAGCATGGAATCACTGAATGCCATAGGCTGCAAGGACAATGAGAATCTGGCTTCTAAGTCTGTCTGAAAGACCCCTGTATAGTTGTAGCAGAATCTGTACAGTTGTGATTCCTTCTTCTCCCAGCCCAGTGGCATGAGAATAAAACGTGAAGTTGAATGACCGCAGGGGGGAAAAACCAGCCCAGAGCATGGCTGAGAGGCCATGGGAGGAAGCTCTGCTGCTGTTGGTTGTGAAGGGGCGGTGACCCTGGCAGAGGCTGGGCCAGCCGTGACATGAGGCGCCATGCGGGGTGGGGGAGAGAGGACACCATGAACTATTGGGGCGCTGTTGCATAGGCTTTG